CTTTTTTGTTTTTCTTCAGTAAGAGAGACATTAGGAGATAGGGGTTTCTAATGGAAATAGCTATAGCAGCAACAGTAGACATTGCTTAAATGCATGGAAACAAACAGCCCTTTCTTGAAGGGGTGTCTGAATTCCAGCGGATTGTAATTATCTGCTCAGACAGATACAGAAGGAAAAAAAAATACTGATATAAAGAAACCTCGGATTAAAATATATATGCATGCTGTAATTTTCAAAAGTTTTAGTTTCTGCCTGTGGCAGGTAGTAAGCAAAAGATAAGGCACAAAATAACGAGCTTTTGTTATTTATATCTGGAGTTTAGAAGAGACACATTGGGAGTGAACAAAAGATTTTTCCATAAACAAAGGCAACGTTGAAATAATTCTCTGCGGGAAAGAAAGAAGGTGAAGGGTGTTACACGAACGCTCGGTGTGGGCTTAGCTTGAACTCTGCCAAACTGCAAAGTTTTAAAACATCTCGTCTAGCAGGATTCAGCACTCAGCTTTTTATAATGACATGTAAATAGGCACCTATAAAATGTAACATCACATTCAAAGTCAGCACCAGTATTTTAAAGGAGTGACTTCATGGTCGTTTGCTCTGTTTACTGCATTCGCTCTGTCTGCCTTCACCCAAAGCATCTTGGTATTCATCTCCTCTCATTCAGAGCCCACATTTCAACTCACAAGGCAAATAACGTAAAGTTTCAAAGGGATCAGCAAGGTGGCAATATATCCATTCCCTTTCTGACTTCAGGAGTCTGGTTCAGATCCCCTTTACTTCAAATAAATCAAGATTAATGCCAGCAGTCAAATGAGCTAATCAGAGATACAACAGTGTAAAAAGAGATCAGAGTACCTCTACAGTGATGTTACAGTGGTGTCGGAGAGATCAGAATCTGGCCTTCAAGAGCCCAAAGCTGAGAAACAGGGACACTTTGTTTGCTTGAAAGAAAATATCGGATGGTTTCTTCTGGTAGGAGGCAGGAGAAAGAGGCCTAGAAGCAAGAAGTTAGTCTAATGTAGCGAAGTATATAATAGCTAAGAATAAATTGTATGCAGCCATTTGATTGTTTTCCCCCTCAAAATATGAGTGCTTATGCAAAACACATGGCTTTAAGTTTGCTGACAATAAAAATGGAATCATCACACAAGTCGGGTAGTGGATTCTCACAGGATCACTTGAGCCAAAATACTCTCTGTAATAATTTCCCACTTCTGAGTTGAATAAATTAATTGATGAACTTCCCGTGAATATGTTTTACCATTTTCCCCCTTGTGTGCTTTGTTGATATCTATACACATTTAGCAAGAAATAACAGAGCCAATCCCATCTGCAGTAAAAGAACAGTTCTCCGGGCCTTGGGGATCATTCTAGACGACTGTAGCTTCATACACAAAGTTAAAAGGAAATGCAGTGTATCGTGTACAACCGGTATGTGGTACCAAAGGAGAATCGCAACAGGGAGCAGTAAAATAATGATGCAGGCTCTCAAGTTTGGGGAAGTTTGATATATCTCCATGAGGTACTCCTGGATTTGATTTCATGGATTTCATAGACACTAGGGCTGGAAGGGACCTTGAGACCATCGGGTCCAGCCTCAGGGGCAGGAAGTCAGCTAGGGTCCAATGACCCCAGCGGGATGATCATCCAAACGCTTCTTGAACATGTCCAGAGTAGGTGCTTGAGACGCGGTAGTAGGGCAATTGTAGACTGTATTTTTCCTCCATCTGGGGTTCTGTCTAACCAGTTTATCTGTGCACTCCAACCATTTTGATATAGGTAGCACCATTAAAAGGTAGCTGCTTCTAGATGAAAAATAAGGTGGTGATCTGAGTAAGACAAAAGGCAAACTCAAGGAAAATAAAATGTTTCCATGTTTTTCCTGAGAAAGATGAAAATGTGTAAAAGGACTGGCAGAGCTCTGTATTGCAAATCCCTATGCTGTAACTGGTACCATTCTAGCTTAATGCAGAAAAGAGTCAGTTATCCAGACGTCATTACCCAAATGCAGAACATGTCACCAGCCTGTGTGATATGTGGTAGTAGCTTGGTGACTAGAAGGACACAAACTGTTTGTGTTTGTGCTTGTGTACATAATGCATCTAAATGAATTATATTATATTATATTATATTATATTATATTATATTAACTGAACGCTGAATTTACAATCCAGTTCTGGTCCCGGTTAGTTCAGCTACTTGACTCTCTTCTGTATTCAGAATGTAGCAATTCCTACATTTCCCCTCTTCCCTCCCCTACCCCATCATGCAGGTAGGTAACTTTGTACAAGAACAACTAATCATGCGAGGAAGTTACTCGCATGTTTAAGTGTTTGCAGGATTGGGGACTTCACCCGCAGCTGCCTTACTCTTACTGTGCACGTTTCTATTATAGACCTTCCCTATTTTAATCCACCTCCGGTTTGCTCATTAAGATGCTGGGTTGCCATTTCTGCCGGTGAATAAGACAACCCCACAAAAGTTTCCCTGTTTCCCTAAATGAAGCTATCTTTCTTTCTTTAACTAAGTGAGATAATGGGTTTGAAATGGGTCTCAGCATCTTAAGGATAAATAAGTACTTGAATTATAATTGCTAATGCTAAGACACATCATTTACATTTATTATACGTAATAAAATATGTAATTAATAGATGTTTTGTAATGGATTAAATCATCAAGCCCAGCTGCAGAGGAAAGATTTATTACTGTATTCTCAGTAGCATCTTGAAGATGGGAGACAAGGAAATTGAATCAAGGACTCTCCCTTTTCCCGCTAAGCTGCTAGCGTTGTTGTTGTGTGTTCTGGGGAAACGTCTGAGATAAAGCAATTGTGTTTGCGTCTTTTTCGTAAAGATGAAAAATAGGCACATCCAGTTCCCACAGTCATTCGGAAACCCAGCAGAGGAAACCGCAAGCTGAGCTAAGCCGCCTGCCTGTGTGTGTCCGTGCATTTTCTAAATCAGAAGGGTAGAACATCACACAGGGCGCACAACCACCAGGGCGCATTGACGTTCAAAATGGGCCGGGGAGATAATGTCAACAGAATAGGATGCAGTTGCAAGATAATGGTCTCCTGCTGCTAGATTAAAGCCTGGGCAAAGCTGAGCTCTTTTAACCAAAATAAACAGAAGCAAAGCCAAGACATTACAGTACTTTCAAAGGAGGAGGCATTTATCTTGCAATAACATCCTGTTCCATTCTCTCTGCTTTCATTGTACCAAAATATTAGAGGAATATGCTGTCATTTTGTTCAACGGATGTAGCTCCAGGAGCTACAGTGGGCCACTGCATTCTGACTGGTTAGTGTTACTGCCTTATAATGTCACATCCTTAAGCCTTTTGATATGCCTACACATTTCAAAGCATAGCATGTCCCCGCAGATAGGTCTTCTTTTAAAAGGAGACAAGTTCTGAAATAAAATCCCAATGTACGGGAGAGGTTTTGCCTCTGTGACACTGTTTACAGCCTGCACAGCTTGGAAGATGGAGAGGCAGACACTGGTGACCCAGAGGCAAAACCTCCCCCTGCGTGAAATCTTACAGCCCCTATTCCGGTAAAATTGCTTGAGAAAAGAGGCTGAGTTTAGCATATCGGTTTCTGAGTGAAACAATGCTCCAAGCTGGTTAACTTCTGCTTTCCAAAGTTGCTTATTTGTAACCATGATAATAAAGCAGTCAACCCCACCCACCCCCCAGCAATAGTGCTGTCTGATATATTTGAGGCCTCATACCTCCTCCCAGTGAGGTCTACTGTGTGTGACAGGACACTTCTTCCTGATGTCATGCCCAACATATCCTCAAAAAAAAAAAAAACTACAGAGGGAGGACAATTGTAAAGACACTCTCTTAGAACGAAATCACTCATAAAATATAATACATGTTCATGGAGTAAAGTACAATACAACCCCTGCCCTATTATTCTTTTAAGGGTCCCAAAAGCAAGAATTTGACTTTTTTCATTATTATGATAGAGCAAGGGTACGTCTATTGTTTGGAACAATAATTTCTCCATCTTCCCCCACTTAATGCCAAATCTTGTACAAGTCTCCTTGCCCTAAAGAAGTTGAATTTTGACCTTAAAGGTTAAACGCAGATAGTCAGAAAGCCTAAAGCTGAATCGGTTCTGTCTTTCCAGGTTCATCTAAGCTGCATAGATTGAACCACTAAGCAAATGAACAGACATTCACTTTTGATTCCAGAAATGCAGTCACCTGCCTGCAGTAGCCCAGGCCAGAAGTGTGGGGGCCGGGGTGCAGGGAGCACGACCCAGCATTCCCTTTAAGCTGCCCAGCCGTGCAGGTGCACTCATGCCACGCTGCCAGGTGCGCCTGCATGGCCGCGCATGACACACAGCTTAGAGGGAACACGGGCACTAGCCCACCCACCCGCAAAGGAGTGCTTGCAGGGGAGGTGCAAAGCATCCTGGGATGCTGGCAAACTGTGAGTTAACTTGAATCTGGAGGGGATCTGGGACAGAAGTTAAATGAATCAATTGAACCTAAATCAGGTAAGTCTGATTCTGTATCACCCAGGTTTATCTTAAACCAGTTGTGGCCATTTTGAAAGTGGTTTATGTGCACTGAACTTCTGTTGTGTTACAGATCTGAACTGGTTTCTGATCACTTGTGCCAGTTTATGTGTAATTTCTATCCCTAGCCAAAGACATCCTATAATCCCATCAGTGCAAGTTTCCAGGGAAGATCTGAGGGGAATAGAGAAAAGTACTTTGTGATAATTAAGACTTGCTTGTCTAATAAAGTAATTCCATTTCTGGGTTGGGTTACAGGCTGGATGGTTACTCAGTGTTTGTGGATAGTGATTTTAAACAACAAGTAAGGGACTCTGCAGTAATTTTCATGAAATGTAAAATGAATTACCAAAACTCCCTCATAGGAGCAATGAAGTCTCCACACTGCAGGACTTTATCTATTGGCTTCAGAGGCTAAATGCTTCCTCGGAAGTGCTGAATGCCCGTTCTTTCTTTCTTGCAATTACAGTGCAAGTTGGAGTTCCATGCATGTACTTCTGGCAAAACTATCTCAGCACGATGTGAGGGGCCCTGCCCATGCCTTCCAGGACAGGACCATCCAAAGCACAAGGCTGAGAAGGCAGGTGAGTTCAGCCATTGCATGTAACATTATCTGATTTTCTGTTTATTTCTTTGCTCTCTGGAAAGCTCAGGAAAGAAGTTTGCTTATTTGAAGCATTTTGGACAAAGTTCTTGTTTGAGGAAGTGTTAAGGAAGTTAGTTAGTTTACTAGTGCTTGAATAATCACTTCAAAATCTAAGTTGCTTTCTAAGTGAACCTTCAATAATCTTAGCTGCAATAAAACTAACACCCACAGTGTGGCTACCGTTGGGGAATTGTGCTGTAGCCGATCTTATTGTTGAGTGAAAATACTAAAAATATTAAGTTAAAACATTGATCAATCATATTTGAAGATATAAAAATGATAAAATATGTGAGACTATAGCTTTCTAAAGACAATCTCCCTTCCTAGCAGTACTGGTTGCTGAGTGAGTTATATTGATATATTCAGAAAAGAGGTATGAAGTATTGAATGTGGAAGCAAGCATTTGAAGTTTGGCAGATGATGTTCCAGTAGAATAAAAGACTGATACTGAATGCCCATAGATAAAAAACCAGGAAGAATCTCCTCTCCTCTGACTACTTATGTGAGATCTGTATGTAGGTTTGAAGGGATCTGCATGGGCTAATTAAGCCCTCCATTTACCCATGGTAACAATCCTGAGCCACCTAGAAACAACCTAGTATGAAGGAAAGCTGCATTTGCAAAAAGAATTTGAAACCATCTTTGTAACTGTGGAAGAGGGAGGGCCCAATGCATAGTCTAGATAAGGTCTCTCTAACCCATGGTGCCTTTGCTGTGATCGCGAACAAGGAACCCAGACGTGGCTCGTGCACCTGTATGGTAGATACTAGATTTTGGACTCTTGATGCTCTATTCATGCTACATCTCTGAAAAACCAGTGAGAAGTGGCCACAGAAGGACCAGCATTAGAGCTCCATACTTCTCACAACAAGAGCTCGTGTGATATAGAGCAGCTTGGCTTTGGTGGATTTATATGCATGAGACCTGGTAGTATTAGATCTCAGTGGACATATCTACACATTCATTAATGCACCATAGTTAGTGTGCATTAAGTTCAAGTACCAAATTACTGCACACTACTGCACAGTAGCCTAATAATACTGCGCAGTAGCGTATTAGCACTGTTTATGGTGTGACATGCAGTATTATTATGCTTCTGTGCAGTTAGCCTCTCATGTAGACATGCCCACTGTATATCACCAAGGTGTATCCTCACTATATCCATTCCACCCCAACATTTCTTCAACAAAAATGCGAGACAACCAGATCCTAAAGTACTTTCCCTTAGCCAGGCTGACTCTGTTTGAAATCAGTGAAAGTTGTGTTTCCAGAGACTATAGAATTTGTCACATAAAGCTAGTGTCACTTCACCGGAATTGCACTCCTTAATTAAATTCCTATTTGTGAAGGGTTTTTTAATGTATTAACATTCTTCCAATATTGTAAAATAAAAATGAAATGATCTAGAAAGATTCATTTTCCATCTAGAACAAAGAAGCAACATTCTCTAGCTAGGATTTTAACAGTCTAGCATTGTTCCCTCTTTTGGAAGTCATCAATATGACTTAGATGATCCAACTTAGATGAAGAATTTTCGATAGCAAGGTTCTGTAATATTGCATATAGCTTTAATATTCCTTTACAAGGTGGTTGGTATCTTTTCATGATAAATTGAGTATTCACAATTTCACTCTCACTCAGACACACCCACCCACATACTTTTCTTCTCATAATCTGCTCCCTATATGACCTCTTTGTTGCCCTTATCAAATGTAATATCAAATTAATAAATCGTCAGTGCCATTTTAGGCTTTCAATTTCTTTCAAACAACCAAAAAAATTATAATAACCCTTATCTTGATCAATCCAAGTTGGCAGGATGGACATATTCTGAAGCCCAGGCTCTTGTTTTGATTCCATTTTTTTTTAACTTCACCGTGCAAAGCATTATCTTTTGGGATTGGATGACCCAATGCAGCTGCTTTCCTGGATGCTGCTTCCTGATGTCAAATTTGAGCTTCATAGTGCTCCTGTGTTTGAACTGGTGAATTGGAGATAGTGGTAAGAACAAAGGGCATCTTCTGGCTCTCTGGTTAAGCCTGGTTCAGGCAAGTATTTGTGTGTAAGCACTACTTTTGCTGTGTCGACACCCATTGGTTTGTGGGTATAAGTGCTGAAGTCATGTTTTCTGCGTAGGCCAGATTTTGACCCTGCACAGTCTTATATAATTTGCTGAGCAGTTGTTTAGTATTGTAAGCATGCCCTTTGTACATTCGCAAAAAAACAGGTCCTGAAAGGACATGAAAAATTTGCTCCAGCTAAAGACACAGACAGAATTCTCCATGAGAGTCACCCCTGGCATCATAATTTGAATTAAAGATTATGCAGTACTCTGTGACAGCTGCTACTAGATCATGATATCTTTGGGTGACAGGTTAAACAGATGCTTTCCTCTTAAGCTGACACGAGCTCTGAAAATTTGCTAGTAGAGACGACACTCTAGGTGGTGCCTTGTCAGTCATAGGTGCCTACATTGTTGGTCTTTACTGTCCGAGGTTCCTGATTGTGCAGCCAATCAATACACAGACCTTCGTTGTGCATTCAATAAGCAAAATGGGGGCAGAATCCGGCCATGTGTTTATAAACTCCTGGGCGCCTCTACACGTGCAAAGAGGCTGCTCCGACGCACTGTTACAGATTAACCAAGTCTGCTGGAATGTGATCATTACCGCACTCCAGCATCACGTGTGTCAGCGTCCCCGCTCTGAAAAATGGTGGCATCAGCACTTTAACTAAAGCTCATTCAATGAGCTTTAGTTAAAGCGCCCCCACGCCCATTTTTCAGCGCGGGGATGCTGATACACGTGATGCTCCAGGCGCTTTAATTAGAGCAGTTCCTCTCCCCTTCCCCCCACCCAGAGCATGTATATAAAGGGTTAGGAGGCTAAGCTCCATGGACTGTATTAGATATATACCCCCAAAAGAATTCGGCCCCAAAGCTCAAATGATCAAATGTCAAAGGGTACGGTCTAAGTTTATGTTTCTTACATGTTCTTCTGAACCGTTCAACATGCCTGTTATAGACCAATTAAGTCTTCCCTGGACTGACTGACCCTGACTTATACTCAGGCTCTTGACATGACCTTTGCACTTGGCCTCTTGCATGTACAAGAATCTTAGACCAAACACTGAGGTGCTCTCAATCTTTAAGCAAAGAGCTCCCACAGATTTTCCCTAGGAATGTTACTAAAACCCATATATCAGTGTGTGTCTGCAAGTTCAGTAGAATTCATTTTTTTTTTTTAAGTTTGCATTGTCCCCCTACCCAAACCCCTGGCTGGAGGTTAGTAAGACCCACCCAAGTTCATGTGATTATATCAGATTTACTTTTTCCGTGATCAGTAGTTAAAAAGTGAGTACTGTTACATCTCCTGAAGGTTATCTTTTACCTCAACAGACAGTTATGTGTTTTTGAAGGACTATTCCCTGAGTTGTATTCAAGCAGACAGCTGAGAGAGCTACATGGCCATGACACACAGTCTGTCTGGTCACAAAATCAGCAGAGTGCAAAAAAATTGAACTTTTGTTTTCTCTAGATGAATGCATGTTTTCAAACCTCCAAAAGGCCTCGGTCTGAGCTATCAGTTAAGGTTCTGGTTGGTTGTTATCTTTTTATTCCCCCATCCCTAGTCATATCAAGAAGTCGTCTTTGCTTTTTCCAAGATATTATCTTTTTTTGATATGAAAGAAGAGGTGTAGAAACTCATGTATAAAAGGCCCCCGTTTTCATTTCCCTTATATAGTATAAGTGTGTAATTAGCATTA